CTCCTCCTGCCAACTGAGCAAGCAAAAGAAGATACATAGCGAAGGCACCCACAGGATCAACTGACAGGGAATCAGAGTTCCAACCACAGTTACAGGGTTTATTCTCTTATCTCACCAAGGCAGAACAAAAATATTGTAGCACATGCTGTGTGCCACAATTGGCACACAATTGCCATTTATTGGCATTGTTTGTGCAGAGCAGCTGTTTGACTCCACATGTTGGAGTCAGTGAGAGTCTGAAAGCATTCAGAGTCTTCACTCAGGTCTGATGGCAGGACTGGAAGTGAAAGTGTATGGTATTGAGAGGCAAGAGGCTGAGGATGTGACTTGATAAGAGTCAAACACTTTATATTGGTGCTTGGTCTAGTGGAAGGTGTTCCTGTCCGTGGCAGAGGGGTTGGAACTATGTGATTTGTAAGGTCACTTCCAACTCAAACCATTCTGTGGTTCTATTTGAAAATAGAAAATTTGTGAGAGAAAAGCAGATTTGTGGAGCTGTCTCTCTCCCCCTTTTCTGTCAGCTTCTCTAGTTTGGTTGTAACTGGCTTAGAGTGAGTGATGAATCCTTCCTTCTCCCACATCCAGTAAGACTTCAGTTAACGCTAAATTTGCCAGAACTTCTGAGATAGTGATAGAAGCCCTTCTTAGAGACACAGAAATTACATTTCTAAAGGTGTCACTTGCCCCCTGCTTCCTCTGGGCAGTCACTCATGTGGCCCAGAATGGGAGGGAGAATGGCAATACTGCTAGTTCCTTTCCTGGTCCTGGAAGAGGAAAAGAATGAAGGAAAGGTTTGATTTGGAAGATCTTCACGATCTGTTGTGAGTGATGGCCTGGCTCAGCACCCTGAGAGGTTGCTGCGAGGAAATGACAGGAATCAAGGAGCAGGGAAGTCCTGGGGAGCTGGCAAAGCCCAGCAAGCTGTTGGGGTCCCCTTGCTCCTCCTCTGAAGCTCGTGAAAACTTTGGTTATTAAAACCTATTTGCAGAAGAACAAATAAATTTCCAGAGGGGAATGTGATGGCATTAAACATCTTCACAATCCCCCTTGGGTGCTGTTGTACGAGACTGGAGCTTACAAAGGCAACACCTCAAACACCAGCCATCAGAGTGACCTCTGAAATGGGGGACTGCAATTTTATTGAGTCCTGTGAAATATGGCAGGTTTTGCTGCCTTTACAGTGCTATAGCAGATTAGTAGCAGGAGAACTGACAAACTCTATTTGCCTGTGACCAGCCTTACTAATGTATTATTCAGCCGTGATTATGTTTTAATGGTCTAAGAAGTGTAGAAATGTTTCAGCATGGCTGAATGGGAGTGGTAGAGATCAGTAATTATAACATCTTCATTATAAATACGGATAAACCTGAAGGTTAGAAATGATGTGTCTTTTCTAGTGGAGTAACTAGTTCTATGCAGTGTAGTGAGAGATGTGTGTGAATGGTTTTCTCTTGTTTAGCAAGCATTTAGAGAATTGCCCTAACACTGGTAAAGGGCAGGTCTCTCTTTAGTAAACCTCTAACTTCTCAACTAAAGAATAGCTGTTTCTCATCTTTCTCCCCTATTTCCCATTTACTGATGAGGAGAGTCCTGACACATATCCAGTACAGCATGGTTTTCTAAAGACTTTCACCTCCTGGTTGGATTCCTTGCTGTCTAATAAGGAATAAGTTTACACTGCAGTCTGTACCATGGAAACGCTTCAGGCCCTTCTCCTCTATCTTGATGCTTCCTTTCAGGATTCAGTAGTCAGCTGAATGAGATGATTCCTCATCAGTCAAATGTAGTTGCAATTTATTTTATAATGTCAAATCAACATCGCTTGCAATAAATTTGATAGGGTAGGTGAGCTGAAAACCTGGAGATTGACAGTGAATTTGTTAGGCCTATTGAAATGGAGACAGGTCCTCCAGGTAGACTGGTAGGCATAAATTGGTGCGTTCGAGTGTGCATCAGTACTTAATTTTACCACCTCAAGGACAGAATTATGCTTTTGGGAGTGTCATGGTTTCCTTGCAGTGCATCCATGACCTGCTAGCTGGACTTAGCTGGGCTGTCTGCGTCCTGCTGGATTTGAATGGCATCTCTTCTCTCCGGTGGTTCCTCCAGTTCTGTTCTGGGGCAAGAGGAGGAGACTGCCAGTGGCTTTGGGCTGCCTGTGTTAGGTCCTGTCACACTCCCAGGTGTGTCAGAGGCCATGTGCCCAGTCACATCCCCAGGAGGACAATGGAGGACTTTGTCCAGGGCAGAGATGGCATAAAGCCCTTACACCTGCCCTCTGGTAGCCTTCCCTGGACAAGGAATATTAAGACAACTGTTTCCACCCATTAAGTGGCCTGAGTGCAGCAGCCAAAGGCTCTTGGTATAGCTGAAAATCGTGGTGTATCACACCCTGCACAGGCAAGTGGGTCATGCTCGGAGATGTCTGTCATTGATAGAGGCTGGAGCTTTGCTGTCCTCTTCCTTCAAAGCAGTATCATAAGATATCTAATATTGAAATATCTTGTTAGTTTACTACTTTGAACTGAAGGGCGAGTGCAAGACAAAAGACTCAAAAGGGAAGCTCAGGCAGTAATGTGTTTACTATGTGAAAAATGGGTTTTAAAGCTTTGAAAGGGTTGTAATGCTCTTCTTCCTTGAGATGCTAATGCTGAAACTTGAAACAGAGCACAGTATCATTAGCAATTAAATGTGTCTGTGTGCTGCTCTTACATCTTGTAAGGCTCCTGCAAATCAAACGGGTGAGGTGCACAAGTCTAATAAAATAATGATTTGGAAAGCAGAGTTCCAAAACCCTGTTTGCAATTCACAGCAGCTTCATGCCTGGCATATTTGTATAAGGTTTTAGAATTAAATTAATTGCCCCAGGCTTTGTACTTGTAAAGGATTGATTTTTGTTCTTTACCTGTGTGTTGTTGGTACTTTGCCTTTCTATGCCTCAATTCCAGCAGCTTTTGTGCTGTATCAGTCCAAGATTTTTAACTTTAATTTTCTGCTTTTGAGTTGCTTATACTGTTCTTTTGGTGGCAAAAATTACACGTCAATAGATAGATACACAGATAACTTCCTGAAGAAGTCAATTCCAGATTTTGAGTAGCATATACAAGATTACAGATGTAAATACCTATATCCAATGAATAAAGCATTTTAGCAATAAAGTGGAAATACTTCTGGATCCTGTCTGTAGAAGCCAATAGCTGAGCAGGAGTGGATTGGAAATAAATTTTTGGTGAATGTGTTTATTCCAGTTATGAGTTTTAACATTTCCGACACCTGTTTTATGTTTATTTTGCTAAAACAAAAATAATATGTGTGCATGTGTATGTGCACATATGTATGTTTATTATGCACATGATGTATTTGTTACAGCAAACGTAATGTAAACATACAAAAGTTCACATTACTTTAAATACTGAGCTTAACTGTCAACCACAAAACATATTTGCAAACTCTTTCAACATGTGTAACATATACAATCCTAATTAGAAACAGCACAATAGCAGAGCTGCCCATATGGTAGTGATAATTATGTTGAAAGAGTTTGTCTTGTGGCTCAGAATTAAGTTTGGAAGATCCAGTGGGAACGGTCTCATGTTCAGGTTTGTAACATGCCTTTAAAATGTGTATGTGAGTGATTTGCCGTGGCCAGGCTGGGTTAGATGAGTTAAAGATGAGAGGGTTGATACGGTGGTCATTTGAGAGGAGGGGGAGGAGGAGGCAGTGTTTAATGTGTATCCCTAGCAGAGTTATTGAAGGGTTGTCTCAACAAAGGTAGTGTTGCATGTTTGTATATGTGTTTTATGTATGTTATCTTTAGAAAATTATTCCAAAACATAGGTAGGTATGTCATGCTCCAAGGCACACCTGAGGCAGTGCTGTCCATGCCAGGCTCCAGTGATTTCAGAGCAGAGGCTATGGTATGTGCCCCTCTGGCACACATAGGAATGGATATAAATGGGAAGCATAATTTCCAACAGGATAATTAGAACTGCATTTATGAATGGGTCAGGGCTCTCCACTGAGAGCCTGCTTTAAAATAATTAGTTATTTCCTCATCACACTTGTGAGCAGCCTCTGCTGTACTTTGTCAGGTTAAATATGCTAAGGCAGGATGCAAGCCTAGGAGAAAATGGGGATATTTAGCTTTCCATTATATATGGGCAAATAATAATACCTATGAAGATAAAAGCAGTGGCTACAGCAGTAGATAATGTGGGTTTTGTGGTAAATACTACTAGGTTTACAGTTTCTTCTGCCTTATCTCTCAAACACATCCTATGGTTTCCATGTCTTTCAAATCAGTGTGAAACAGAAGCAAGTTGTGCTCTGAAAAGAGACAAGTAATTTGCAACACCCAAGTGATGTTTTAGGTGAAATAATGTAGAACATATTTGTATGTATGAATCACAGTCTTTTATTAAAAACACAAAATGTAGCACTTTAAGTGTGGGACATATTGGTATTAAACTAGAAGTGTTCAATTTGTAGGCTTAAAATCTGGACTAAGACACTGTAGTGTGTTACTAATGGCAAACACTGAAATGTTTAGTGTGCCAGTGTGCAGAAAATCCCCATTTTGATTCATTAGGGTTTATTCTTGGAAAAAAATGTGTAGTGGCATTTCACAACAGTTACAATGGAAATATGGAGGCACCAGAGGAAAATCCATCTTGTTTTGGTTTTAGGAACCAACAATTCTCTGTGAATATACAAATCAAGATCAAAAGAAACGGATGTTGTGAGTGAACCTGCTGTCACAGGCATTTTATTATGAATTTGAATTTACTAAGAGTCTTTAATTCATATTTATTAACAGTCCTAAGTGTTAACTTCTCATTTTAATAAAGGTCCTTTATTCCTACTCACTACAGGGCTTAGAGTGTAAAGTTCAGAGAAGGTTTCTGTAGTTGCTGGTTATAAACCCATCTCTCCCAACTCCTGGACTTGTGCTCAAGGGCAGTGCTGTTGATATTGTGAATTTGCAAAGTCAAAATCTTGGCTGATCTTTGGTCTTGGCATCTTTATTTATTTCTGCTTTGGTCTCTGAAGGTCAGTCACTTGCTGTGATGTGAGAAGGAAAAGAATGCAGGGATAAGAGGAATAGTGTTCTAATCCTTTCAATGCTGTTGGGGGAGCAACTTCTAACTTAATACCTGTTTCAGTTATTGACCCCATTTTGGGGAGAAATTGAATGTGTGCATTTTATTGATTGTGCAAACACTCGCCCACGTTGGGAAGCGCATTCCTGCCAAGTATCCTGGGTCAGTCTTCCATGAACGAGAGAATTGCTTGCTTTGAAATCAATGGGATGAAGCCCGTTTGTACCTGACAGAGTTCTTCCAAAGCAAACATGTAACCCCATTTCTGATGGTGAGCAGTGTGGGTTTGGGTTGTTTTGCCTTAGCCATTTCCTCCATCAGTATGATCTGAGCCAGGGTTCCCTTCACACATGCCAGTGTATTTAAACAATCATCTGCAATTTCATGTGGCAGGGGATGGAGCAGGGGGTCGTGTAGGAAAATGCTGGGTAACACAGCTGCTCTGATGCAGCTGAACTTTTTTGACTGGACATGCTGGTGGTCCCAGAATTTCACTTCCGTGGCCTGGCTCTGGAGCAGCTGCTGCCCAGCCCTGGTGCCCAGCTCGGTTCCACTGGCCCTGGTGTAGGACTATAATGTGGCCGGTCCCTCCACAGCAACAGGTGTGAGTCAGACTGTGCTGCTGTGGTTTAGTGCAAGGCTTCTGCCACCTCCTGCTTTGGTGGAGTGCTTTTATTGAGCAGAAATGGATTTCTTTTGAGGGCATGCATCTCCTACATAACGTGGTCTGGGAGCTCTTTTCATTCTACCAAATATTTCTTAGTTTGGAAAGAATATGGCTTAAACTGTCCAGTCATTATGGTAACAGATGCCAGCAAATGTTGGTCCATTTGGAGTGATGACTGAATTTTTTCATTCTTATAAAGAAATACCCTATTTGTGTGTTTTGCTCTCCCTACCACCCTGGCTGCGTGTATGGCAGCATTAGGAAAACAAACTGGGAGACAAAATGGTATGAAGGGAGTTCTCAGATCAGTGGCCTGAGTCTGTCTCACAGGCAGAAATTCAGAAACTCCAGGAGGATTGTCCCTAGACAAAGATAATACATGTACTTACCTCTGTAAGTCCCAGCGTACTTACTCCTCTCCTCCTGGCTGTTCCCTGGAGTCACAGGCAGAAGGATACCGGGTTTCTGCAGCATATCAGCAGTGCTGCTGGAGCTGGGAGGCGCTTTGGCTCCGGGTAGTTCATTGTTTGGGGACAATGACTGTGTGCAGAGCAGGGGCTGGCTCCTTCCTCGGCTTTGCGAGCAATTAAAGATGTTAAAAATAGGCAGCAGTGCTTCCAGCCCTGCCCGTGGGGATGAAAGCACGCCTTGTTTGTGTGCCAGCCAGATGCTGGTGCATCGGATTACATCTCCGCACAGATCCTCGTCCCTGTGTCCGTGTGAGCGCTAACAAATGCTGGTTTGGATGTGTCCCAGTCGCTCCTGCAGCAGGGATCTGTCCCTCGCTGCCCCTCCGCGGTGCTGAGCTGATGGAGCGCTGGGGGGTTTGCTCTGGGCACTTGGAGTGATGGAGGCCCCGTGATTCCCTGTTGCCTTTTGCTTTACACACCTCATATTTTGTGACCATCCTCTTCTGTAGCACAGCTTTGCTAAAGCCACCAAGAGCTGGTGTTTCACTGGTATGTGCTGCGTCTGAGCTGTCTCAGATGATGCAGTCGTTTTTTTGGCCTGGTAACAATTTCAAGCAGATACATTTTCCTGTTCCTCTCATCTTCTGTGCTTGTTTTCCCGGTACAAAACATCCCTCTGTGAGCCTTGAAAAAAAAAAAAAGGGGTGTGTTTTTCCCCTGATGAAAGGTTTCTGTCCTAGAACTATCAGCTACCCGGGAACCACAGATCAGAGCTGTCCCAGCTGGACTCTGAGTCCTTATGTTCATAGAGCAGCAGTGCCTTCCTCTCTCTCTGGCTCAGCACCATCCAGTGCAGGCTTCTGCCAAAACCTCTTACCGCCCTGGATCACTGGCTGTTTAGCAACAGCCTTTCAAGCTTTGAGAGAGGATGGAGTGATGCCATGAGGCAAAGAGCCCTCCACTCCTCCTTCCTTCGTGTGAGAGAGCAGAAACTCACGCAGGAACTCTCGCAGGAACAGTGGATCCAATTCATTTGCAGCCAAGTTCTGTAGGGTTTGTCCTGGGGATTTGTGAGCTTTGCAGAGCCAGAGCAGTGCCTTGTGTTTCCACGGTACACAGCATGGAAAGGGACTGAGAGCAGAGTGAAATCCATAGTCATGGGTTTGGGGGTGGAACCCCCGGCCTGTCAGAGCATGTGGGTGATCCACTGTGACTTCACAGGACAAAAACTCCAGGGGGAATGTGTTCAGGGTCTGGTTTTGCCTTAGTTACCCCAGGAACTCAGATGTTTGAAATAGAACCAAAGGAGTGACTTTGGTGGGGGTCTGGGTGAAGGGAGGCAGCACCCAAATCATGGAATCACAGAATAGCCTGAGTTGGAAGGGAACCCCAAGGATCATCAAAGTCCAGCTCCTAGCCCTGCACAGGACCAAAGCTGCTGAGGACAGCACATTTCTCTGAATGTGAGCATGAATTGATTCCTCTCAGCTCTTGGGCCCTCTCAGACTTTCTCTTCCAATGTTTCTTTGGGAAGCCATGTTCCAGGAACTCAGGGATGTTTCTGTTTAGTGGCCCCCTCTCCAGCGTGGCTGCAGGAGTGTCCCCGTGCTGGTGGCTCCGCAGGGTCAGAGGTGCCCCAGCAGACCTGGGGCTGTGGGTTCCTGCTCTGCCCAGTGACAGGATGAAAAGGTGAAAGAGGGAGCAGGGGGTTTGTCTGGGGATTTTTTCCTTTGACAAGTCACTTGTTTCTATTTACAAGCTCTACCAGTGTTTTAATGGGGGTAATTATCCTTGACCAGGTAAGTGTAATGGCCTGCTGCCTCTCTAATGGCTTTTCCTCTGTGATTTCCCTGCTTGGCACTGGGATGGCACCTTGAGAGCTGGGAAGGGAACAGCAAGGGTGGAGCCCAGTATAAGAATGATATGAAGCCATTAGAGAGTGTCCAAAGGAGGCCACGAGGATGGGGAAGGGCCTTGTTTTGAAGCCGTGAGAGGACGTTGAGGGCACTTGGTGTGTTCAGCTGGAGCAGAGGAGACTGAGGGGAGACCTCACTGCAGTTCCAATTCCTGGGCAGGGGCAGAGGAGGGGCAGGGACTGAGCTCTGCTCTGGGGGGACCAGGGACAGCAGCCAGGGAATGGCTGGAGCTGTGTCAGGGCAGGCTCAGGTTGGATCTCAGGCAAAGGTTCTTCCCCCAGAGGCTGGTTGGGCACTGCCCAGGCGCCCCAGGGCAGTGGGCACAGCCCCAAGGCTGCCAGAGCTCAGGGAGGGTTTGGCTGATCCTCTGGGGCACAGGGGGTGACTCTTGGGGCTGGGGCTGTGCAGGGCTGAGGGTTGGACTGGATGGTCCTTGTGGGTCCCTTCCGACTGAGCATATCCTGTCATTCTGTGGCTGTAGCGTGGCTGGATGATGGCAGGGTCCTGCACTGCTCTCAGAAGCTCCCTGCAGCCCTTGGCATGTTGGGATTTGTGTCTTCACTGCACTAAAGCAGTTAGTGGGTTCAGGGAATATTGTAGGGGTTGTGTATATACTGTGGGGGACTATCCTGTAAGTTTATTGCTCTGCTGCAGGCCTGCCATCTCCTCAGACAGCCTGGGACTCTGTGCTGTTCAAGGGAAGGTACCCCAAAATGTGCTTTTGGAAACCCAGGGTGCAAAAGCACAGACCACCAGCTCTGATTGTAACCCCAGAGGGAACTGTGAGCAGCACTGTTCATTTTATTGTATTATGTCACATTTTCATTTCTAAACCCCAGTAAATCCTTAACAGTGTTCCTGGAAGCAGCCTCTAAAATTCTCACTCGATTATATTTTACCTCCAAAGATGCTCTTTCTCTCAGACATGTGGTGCTGGCCATGGTGAGAAATTTGGAACAGCTGAAAATATCTGTGTATTAGAAATTTATTTCCTGTCGCTGTGTCTGTAATCTGTGCCGTGGACATTTCCAGAGGTTGTGTTGCTGCACTGCAGAGTTTTAGAAAGCTCTGCAGAGATTAAATGTTTAAAAAGAAATATTTTAATCATTGGTGAAAGTGGTGGATGGTTTTGATTAGGTGGTAATATTGCTGGTGATAAATTAACAGGATGAAGATGATTTAAGAATTGCATTGTCTGAACTTCGGATTTCAGACATGACAAATCTGGGTTCTGCCTCATTCACAGATTTGGCAAATCAAATTTATCCAAAGAGCGTGAACTCTATTTTTTGAAATTTTCCTGCACTGAATACCTCCAAATAAAGAAAAATGCTCTTCATATCCCTTCATTAACATGTAGTGTGCCATGACAGATTTATGAAAGACGTCTGGGTGCTGGAGTGCCCTGGTGCTTTATCCCATTTGGTAAATAGCATGGTGATGTCCTGGGCACTCAGCTTGCATTCTCGGGGCCGTTCATCATCCTGCTGTGTGACTCCAGCCTATTGCACTCCTTTGTCTCAGTTTACCTGTGTATGAAATGTTGGTACCATCTCCTCCCACTTTTGTGAAATGTAATTAAGTTAATGCTTGAAGGTACAGTTTAAGTACAAGCTGCAGCTCTTATTTGCTAAGGTTTTGATGCATGTAAGGAAAAAGTCCTTGGTTCACTTCAGTTTGGGATTTATTTTTGGTTTCTGCCTTTTTTTTAGTTCTTTTTATCTCCTTCTATGTCTGTTACAAGAAAGTCAGGAGAATGTGACATTGAGTGAGTGACACCAGAGCTGGTGGAGGCAGGAGGGGCTCTGAGTGTGAGCAGTGATGCTGGAGATCATTAACACTGCTATTTATATCTGTAAAAAACAGGTTTCAAGGGGAAACATCGAGGCTTAGCGTTGCTAATTATACAGCTGTTAACTAATCTAACAGTGATCCTAATTCCACCAAACCTTGGCACTGACACTTTATGGCCCCGTGTGAGGGAGCTGGGGCAGCACTGAGCCCAGCCTGGGGGGACAGCAAGGCCTTCCACTGCATGTGTGTCCACCTTCAGGACAGCCTCTTAGAAAGGGTAAGGGCACCTGGGCTGGGGGTTTTAAGGAAATCTCCAATTACTCCTGAAGTCAAAATGACAGAGCAGGAGTTACTTGGAGGATTTGACAGCTGCTGAATCCTCAGAGTCACTCTAAATACACATACAGTGTTTGCATTATTAATCTAATGTCTTTACACTTTGGTGTCTTCTGTGGAAGTATTGCCTCAAGGATCTATCTGCATAAATTTAATACTAAGATCAAGGTCTTTATTTCCATTTAAAGGCATAATTTAGAAAGCAATCTCACTGAAAAAGTCTGATCAGTCACAGGATCAAATAGATTCATCAGAAGTGTGTGATGCTCTCTCCTGTCACCTTCCCTGCTCCTGTGTTGAATCCCTTCCATATTTTTGAAGTTTGAAATCACTGAAGTGACCTGTTTTCCTGTTCATATTGTCTGTTTGCATTTCCCCCTGTTTGCAGGTGGGAGATGCTTGAAGGGAAGATGAAGGGCTGTTCCTCAGGCAGCCCAGCCTCCCATGCCTCCTCACTCCACCAAGAAGCTCATGAGTAGGCAAACAGGGGCTTAAAGGCCCTGAGAGCATTGAATTATTGTCAGAGAGCTGTTGGTGTACACATTGACCTTATTATAACATTTACAGCTTCAAGGCAAACTCAGAGCAGCAAAGCCTGTAGCAGGCAGGTTTCCATTCGGGACCAGGAGCAAGGAGTCTGCTTTCTGCACTTGCTGGTGTTCCTGTTGTTAGTTTTCATGTGTTAGTGATTACCTTTACCTCCTCTTTTCTCCAGTATTATTTGATCCTCACTGAGGGCGAGAGGAGGTGGCTCAGTGGGAGGGAAAACCAGTTTAGGCCAGGGCATGGCATATGTGTGAAAAGCTTTTCATGTTTGCTTGCTCAAGTGCATGAGTCAAGCAAATTGCCTGGCTGAGAGTCTTCTGAGAATGTCTCGTATTTGGGATGTTCAGATTGATTTTTTTTATTAGTTTTTACTTTTTTAAAAGAAAATAATTATGTAAAGCACTTTTCATCTCCACACCTCTTATGGTTTTGCTGTTGTGTTACCTTGGTTTCCATGCAT